CATGATTATCTTAGCTGAGGATACAGTCAGAATCTGGTGCCGCAGAAGGAAAAACATCATGGCGTTAGGGGGATGGTAGGATTGGGCGTTCCTGACCTTCAAAGCAGATTAACATGAAACAAAGCGAGCCAAGACTCTAAATATTTAGTGGAAATGTTACCGTTTTTGGCAGGGAAAGATAATAAAATCTTTAAAGGGTCACTTGCCTGGGGATGGTCATGACCTTGACAACACAGCTCCATCCAAGAAGCGATCACTTGGTAAGTCCGTACAGAGGGACTCCACCTGCTCATATCAGCTCGGTGTCAGTTTGATCTTGTTGTGGGTATTTGGCGTTTTGTCTCTAGTTTTAAAAGGCTATTTTAAAAACATGAGCAACAAAGAAGAAAATATCTTTGCCTTTCTTTCTTCTACTCGTAATTTCTGAGCCATACCCACCTCCCTTTCTGCTCTTGACTACCTTTGCAATTTCCAGCACATCTGTGCCGCGCTGAATGCCAACTTTAGGTCAACAGATGTTGTCGTGAAAAACAAGAACTAGAAAATTAGAAAATCTCACTGCTCTGCAATGCTTATTAGCATGAAACTGCGGCAATATGCTTTATATTTCTTCGTAGATGGCTCTTGTGGGCATTCTGCTCAGTGGCTTGTATATTTTTAAACCTTCTTTTTTGAATATGTGTTATTTCTGTAACAGAAAAACCATATAATGTGTAAATTATAATGACCTTTTTATGACCTGCCCTTCTCTTTAGTCTAGTCTATGTGACAAAGTCTGATATAACACTCGCACATGTATAGAAAAACTATGGCTATTAACAAAAAAAAATTTCAAAAACATGGCTTTGAAAAAATTTTAACTCTGCAGTTTTGAAATGTTTCAAAACTTCCCTTTGCTAAACAGAAAATTCTTTGAAAACTGACTAATGGCCTCAAAAAACGTTTAGGCAGATTTATTAAAAAAAATTAATTCTTATCCTAAAATCGTTTCTTTGTAAGTGAAAAGTCTGAAATATTTTTTAATCCAGATTCAAATAATTTCAAAATCACTTTAGATTTCTTCATGCTATAAAGGACACATAAGCTTTAAGGAAAAAGTTTGCTCTAGAATCTCATGAAATTGTCGCATCCAACATCAAATTTCCAAAAGCAAGATGCCTACCCTAAAATATGTATGATTTTCAGGGTGAGACTGATGTTATATAGAGCAAGATTGCGTTTGGACGCCCCCAGTTTCCAGGTCAGCAGATATAATACACATTTTTTAGAGCCAACACTGGCTTCACCCACAGTCACCAACGCCCTTGCGACGTGTCTCAGTTCATAACCATACTCCCGTTCGCTCTTGTTGACTTGCGGTAAAGGGAACGCAGATTCCTGGCCCTGGGAAAGTATTTCTTATGCCTTTATCTGTGTAATAAAGGGTTTGAACTAAATCCTTTCCAAGACACTTACCAGATGTAAAATTCTGAAGCTCTTATGTTGCAACGTATAATTTTGGAGTTGCTCAGAGACACACATGCCTTGGAACTTACAACAGAACGCTGAAACGGAAAGTCAGAGTATATTAAATTATGTAGCTTTTGTCTTCGGCATTTTTAATAATAATGATAATAATAATAATAATAAAATAGTTGTTCTGTTTTTTTAACTTTGTCCTACGCAGATAACGGATCATTCTCACGCAGGTTCCTGGGGCCTCTTTATAACGACTCTCTCTTTAACCCTTATTTTTTTTCCTCTTCCATTTTTCCATGGTTTACACTCTTTAACCTATTTTTTTCTTTTTCATTCTTTGTTTTCTTGTTTTCTCTCTTTGCTTGCCACAAGGTTTTCTCTTTTCTTGGTTCTTACTTGAGATTTTGTAAAATTAGTTATCTCTTGGATAGAATAAACACCATGACAATACCGGCATTTTAGGGTTTAAAGAAAAACATTATTTTTCACAGCACTAAATTATAGCCACCTAAATGTTGGGTGAGTCTGTACCACCTCCTGTTGATTTAATTAAAATGCCAACGTAATTGTGCTGGGTCACCATGCTTTTTTCCTTCCTACTCATCTGAGTGTTCATTTTCTGGTCATTTCCCCTCTGAAAACCTCCTCTTGCAAATAGATTTGACATTTTGTGAGCATCTCATTCTACTTGAGGCTTGAAATTGCCATTACCAAAGTGGAGCTTGGAGAAGTGCTTCCTGGATTTTTAAATGCTTTTCTTTTATGTATATAGTCAAATCAAGATAACATAAGGAGAAGGAGCAGAGATAGTCTGCATCCAGGAAGAACATGGCCCTTTCCCCTTTCTCCCTCTCCCACAAATCTAGAGACTTGGGCCATTAATATGGGATTGCTTTTCCACCCACAGGGTTAGCGTGTCCGAAATGTGGCCATGGCCGGGGTTGGGGGAAGGGATCGTCTGTCTTCTAGGTGACTTTGGGGCAAAACAACTTGAGATTTAAAAACAAAATGATGCTCTCTGAGTGAAAAGTCTAATAGCCAGTTCTGTCTTTCTCATGGAACAGACCACCACAAGCCAACAAAAACAGAAAAATGACTGGTTCGATGACCTTCTTATTTTGCGGTAAGTTCAGTAGTAAATACAGGGTGCAGTAAGTAGGTTAATTTTGTTAGGAGAAGATAGCAAGACATCTTGAAATTCAGAAAAAAATCATGAATAGTCTTCTAGAAGAATCTAGAATTTGTGTCTCTATGCCCCATCTTCTCCTTGTATAAGCGTCATCACTGAAAGGAAATTCGAAGCTGGAAATTCTCAGAAAGATTTCTCAGAAATACACTTGGCAGTGGTGATGGATGGATGGTAACAGTAAAAGTTTAATGAAGATATGTCATCCGGATTTTCCTTTTGAAGAACACGTTTCTGCCTTATACTTATCAAGGAAATGTTTTGACCCCGAGCAACTAACGGGTACTTTTGTTTTTAAATGTCAAATTGGGCCTATGCTCCTTGTGATTGCTGTTGGAGGACTAGTACCATGACCACATTGAGAATGAAAAAAAACCTCTTTGAAATAACAAGTGTAAGATGCTCCCCCACCAACCTCCCCCCACTCAACGTCGCTTCAGCAATTTGACAGGGATTCTGGGCTCAAGAGACTTGCTCTCCTCCAGAGGGCCCCACGTGCATTTACCCATGAGCGCAGAGCATTCTTCATAGTTGACATGTACGTATTATATAAATTTAATAGGTCCTGAAACTACTGGAAAATCTCCAAGTCGGTATTGACTGCCAAGGTGATTTCAAAATCCCTGGTGATTCTGTTCCAGGCTCCCTCGAATGCACATTTCAGGAATAGCTTTCACAGTGGGCCCTTGGGGTTTGTGTTCTCCTAAGCCTCCTAGGAGGCAGGCTTGCTGTCATTCAGATACTACAGCTTTACTTTATGGGTCTGAAAGGGCCAGCTTTCCCCGTCCCATTACTAACCAAGATCAACTACTGTTTAAAGGTTATGACAAATGACAGAAAGCCTTCTTTTTCAGTTTCTGGCCTTACTGATACGTCATTAACTCAAGCCTGCTCCGTGTGGGTATCGCACAGAATGTTTACTGAGTGCATTGCCTGCCGGCAGGCATTCTCTCCCGTGAATTTAGCATCAGTTCTGAACCGCTCTCTGCATCTCCTTTCATTCTCAGGAGGAGGGGAGGGTCCTGGGTCCCCAAGTTTACGGCTTTACTGCAGGAAAGTGGATGCGCAGAGGTGGGAAAGGAGAGCCTCTGGGGGCTTCTTGTGTTCTCATTCAATCTTGAATTGAGAGCAGTTGCCTGGGAAACAAAACCTAAAAGAAAAATCTCATTTTTGTATGCATCTTCAAATCTTCAAATGGCGGAATGTGCTTTTGTGTTGAAAGGAAGTCCTCTGAGCCTAAAGGACCACGAAGGCCAGGTTTATGATCCGCCCAAACCACCTCAGCATACCACGGACACTTCCTCTCACACTGCTCATCAAATAGAACATGCTTATGTTAAAAACAGAGAGAAAAGGTGAAAATGCTCTTCTTTGGTCACATGAGTTGCAAGGCATCAGGGAGCTGCAGAATGGATGCTGCAAAGGAGTCAGAAGACCCATTTTTGGAACATACCTCTAACTGGTAATTTACATTTTAACTTCTGCTGTGAACTTAGGCTGCACATCACAAATATACCTCCCAGGCTTAGCTTCCTCAAGCGTAGAAGAGAGGGTTGTTCTGGGATCCAAGATGCCACCTCTCCCCACCTCCCATCCTAGAGCAAACAATTACCTGGGCCAGTGAGAGTGTAGCTTAAGGGTGCTGATCAATGTCTTTCAACAAACATTTATTGAGTATTGACGATGTCACCCATGTAGGGGTGGGAAAAAAATTCCCAGTACCCTCTTAGGTTCTGTCCCTGAGGCCTGTGAATTAACCTGACAATCAACAGACTAATAGAAGAAAAGTTTTATTCTGTTTGCACATGGGAGCTCCGTGGAAAAGAAGTAAGAATGGAAAGAAGCAGTTAGGCTTGAAAGCTTATATACCATTTTACTGATATGTCATTTTTTTTATTTTGAATTTTTTAATGCACAAAAAGAACATCCCGGAAACAGAACAGGTACTGTCTTATTAATGATGAAGCACTATGTAAAGAGCCCCCTTCCCACTCAGTAAATAGGAACGTAGTGTAAATAGATGTGAAAGGAGGTGAACACTTTAGGATTAAATGCAAACCCTAAAGTTGTATACAACATTCATATATGGCTTATTGTCTCATAGCAATATTATTTTCATAATGATGTATGTGACATACCTATTGGTAAGATGCTTTTGACTCAAAAGTTAACCAATGATAGTAAATGGTAGAGGAGTGACTAGACAAATGAAAAGGAGTTTGGGCTTCTAGGGACAATACATTGTGGGAAAGTAAATCTATGGGGGAAAGTAATGGAAGAGAAGGATTACTCAGTAAGGTTTGCTGTGCAGACTCAAGTGTGTGTGTCTCCAGTGGTAAGAGTCATCCTCCTTGTCCTGGTATCAGAGAGGGCGGCATCTTTACAAACGGAAATGTGTGTCCTGCTCTTACGCAGGAAGGAGGAGGGCAGAGTGTGCTTTCTGCACCTGCTGCTTCTTAGCTGCCTTCAGCTCAAAACAATCTTATGCCAAAGGGGCATATTTGGGGTGCATCTTCGGACACCCCTCGTCAGAAGGTTGATTAATCGAAGGCATTAATTACAAAAGCTGATTCTCCTGCATTTAGAGCATTGAAGAAAGGCACTGATTTTTCATAGATGGTACCAGCTCAAGAACGTATTAGGGTTGTTTTCCCTTCAGAAATACATTCGGCAGAAACGTTGATTGTGCCGGAGATGCCTGTCATGATGGGTGTGTGTGTGTGCCACCAAGCACACGAAGACAAACAAATATTTGGGGTGGAAAGGATACTTTCCTTCCAGAGGGCAGTATATGTGTTTTATTCCTCAAAAGCATAATCTGGTTACAAGAAAGCCTCATTCTTGGTCTAGGGGAGGGAAGGGCAGTGACTTTGCTGGTGTTACTGTTACACAACATAAAAACAAAAGGCATTTTTCTTGGGGAAGATAATTAACTCAATAATTAACTCGCTATTAAATAAGCAACAATTTGCATTTTTGTGAACAGTGCATCTTTATTTTTGCCTTCATGTTGGCAGAGTCATAGGCACACGGGAGAGCTCTAAGTGAACACCTCAGAGGATTTTTTTTTTCAAGAGCAGGTAACCTCCTTTCAAATGAATCCTCCTCCCTCCTCCTGCGTGGCATTTCTTTACCTCTTATCTCCAAACGTCCAAATCCAACCCCCTGCTTCAGACCTGTTTCAGGTGCTCCCTTGCACGTGGCCTCCCTGTCCCCTCTTGGAAGTGCCACCGCGGACAGTGTTTTCTGTCTCCCTTACACAGCGTACCCCTCTCTGCCATGTACACATGTCAGCTGCTGCATGATCTCAATCTCCCACTACAGTGTAAGCTCCTGAAGGCAGAGGCTCGGAGTCCAGCATCATGCCCTGCTCAGAGCCGTCCTTGGTGCATATTTCAAGAATAAAAAGGTGGGCAATGGAACAGTGAGTTTTTGACAGTTCTTGGAATGATTAGCCACCCTGTTGATTATATTTGGAAAACCTTTGATTCACGTATTTTCAAGCGGTAGATACTCGAGGACCGTGCTTTAATAACAATCTGATCAAACAAAAGGAGCAGCACAGCCCATCTTAAGCAACAGGATGAACAGCAAATGCGTATTTTGTCAAACATGAAATATGAACAGTTTTGAGACCATCCTCTGCCCTTGGATGGCTTACTGGCCAATCTCCTGGTTCGTACAGAAGAGCAGAAGCTGACTGGAATATCTGGGTGTGTTGGGGGAGGGGAACAATCATCGTGGAGCTTAGATAAAACTTCTTTCAAAGGCCCTCTTGCATTTAGTGGGTGAAATGGTTCTGATTTACCACCAGCAATAGTATAATCAGGGATTACCCAAGTGGAACCTTTCTAGAGAGAGCTGGAGGAGACAGAAGGATATGGAGGGACAGCTGATTGGGCATCTTCATGGATAAACATTCTGAATCGCAAAAAAAAAAATCAGTGCAGGGAGCATTGCTGACACACAGGGAAATAAAGCTTTCATGTGAATTTGAATGGAAAGGGTAAATTTCATGATCATCTTACGGTTGCCGAGAGAAGTAAGTCACTCAGATGGCGTAACCTGGCTTAAAGGAGAGATTGACAAATGCGTTTTTAGGTAATAACGAAGTCGTCATGGTGATCTGAAATGAAACCTTATAATTTGGAGCCACATGGATGGACCTAGAGGTGATCATACTAAGTGAAGTAAGTCAGACAGAGGAAGACAAACACCGTATGAGGTCACTTACACGTGGAAGCTAAAAAGTGATACAAGTGAACTTAACTACAAAATAGCAAAACAGGAACAGGCTCACAGACTACTGTACAAGAATAGACAATAAACAACAAGGTCCTACCATGTAGCACAGGAAGCTGGGTTCAATAGCTTGTAATAACCTATAATGAAAAAGAATATATACATGCATAAGTGACATATACCAGAAATTAACGCCGCATTGTAAATCAACTCTACTTCAATTTAAACATTTTTAAATAAATAAAAATAAAATGTAACCTAATAAACATAATAACAAGAGCTCTTGGAGACAGGAGAGGAACAAACCATCGCGTACCTGTTTTCAGAAACCACCTCACAAGTCCTAGCTGGGTGGTGTGGGTTTAGCTTCCCTTTGGAACAGGGATACTTGACCCTGTATTTCTGTAGGTCCTTCAGGGCTGAGCAAGAACTTACACATACTCTGGACCATGTCGGAGGCTCTAATAACTGTGTTTGGCACATGTAAGTGCTCAGTTCATATCTGCTCTTATTATCATTTCCCGAGGTCCAGCGGTATAACTTTGGATGAGCTGTCTGAAGTCCTTTCTGCTTCAGCTTGCCGGGCTCCTGGTCAGATGCTCACAGCAGGAAGTCCTGCCCCAGCCCAGTTTCTGGAGGGGAATAGCATTCCTGGCCACCAGCAAAGCTCCCCTCGCCCCCACCCCACCCCGCACAGCAGCCCTTTCTAGAATGGACCGGATGGGTGCAGCCCTCTGAGGGAAGCACTCAGGTAAAAAGGCAATATCGATACACACACACAAATGCTATGAGAATGGCAAACGGCACTAAGGAAAAGCAAAAAAAAAGGATGCTTGGCACAGTCTTTATGGGGACAGAAAACCCCCAGGGGCGGAAAAGCAGAAGCAGAGGCAAGGCAGGTTGTCAGCAGCCAGTGCGGTGAGCGAAGACTCGGGAGAGTGCGCAACTTCTCCGTGAGATGGAGGATTTCTATGAAGCTGGACCTTTGCCTCATTCCGGTCCAGGAGAGACATCTCACCTGCGGGGGCCCCTCGGGCCTGATTGCATAATAGAGTTACTTCTTCCTGTTGTGCCTTTGACGAGGATCAGATGCTGTTTGCTAAGCACGGTGAGCTGCTTGGATGAAAACAAGATAAACAGCTTGCAGTGCTATCCATCCTGCCAGTGACCAGCCAGCAGGTAGGATTCTGTCTCTGTAGGAAACCATTTCCATACGAAACTGAGAGAAGGAATACAGTCGACTTGGCAGCGTTTCTGTGTTTTTTTTAAACAAGAAGGGATGAAAGCTGGAGCCTGGAAGATTTATCCTGATCTGAAATGTATGAAACAACACTTAGAAAAGACACCTTTTGGTGTGGACGGGGAGTCCTTAATGAAGCATTTGCTTGGGTCTCATTTCCCTTTGTTTTTCACCGGGTTCATTTAATTCGATGGATCCTCCAAGCCTCAGAGGAGCGCCCCTGAACCCGTATGAAATCTCATAAAGCTGGGTGAGCTGTTCAAGCTGATGCAGCCTCCGTGGTTGGGGTGGTTGTGGTTGTGGTTGTGGTTGTCACTGGGCTTGCCTGAGTCAATCCAGGCTGCCCTGGCAAGATACCACCGGCGGGGGAGCTTAAACCAAAGACATCTATTTTCTCACGGTTCTGAAGGCTGGAAGTCCAAGACCAACGTGCTGGCAGGGCTGGTTTCTGGTTCCTCTCCCTGGCTTGCAGGTGGCTGCATCTCCCTGTGTCGTCCCATGACCTTCCCTCGGTGTGGGCGAGAAGCCCTGACGTCTGTCCCTCTTCTTACAAGGACACCAGCCCTATGAGAGCAGGGTCACTGTGATGACCTCATGTATCACCTCCCTACAGCCACCATCTCCAAATACAGTCAGAGGGGGCTTCACTGTATGAATTTGAGGGGGACCCAATTCAGTCCATCACAGGACTGTTCACAAAAGTTCTATTTCCCCTACGGGGCATTTGGAAAGATTATACAGCCCTGTTCCCTTTGAAGATGACGATCACTGTCTAGGTACCTCCAGGTGAGTCATTACCTGATTGAGAAACTCTCAGAGACTCACCAAATTAAATATAAACCCTTGACGCTGCATGTAAGTCCTTCCCTGACATGTACCAACCGATCTGCCTCCTAGTTTTGTCTCTGACATGCTCACTGTACCTGAAAACCACAGTGAAGACCCAGCTCTGAGCCTGCGTTCATTCTGTGTTCGTCTGCCTGCCTCGGGCCCCCCAGTCTCTCTCCCACACTCCATTCGTTACCATCCATCCATCCTGAAGGCCCCTCGTCTTATGATTCTCTTCTTGATTTCTTTCACCGTGAATCTCAGCTTTTCTA